GTTTGCACACCCCTTGCCCTATCCTGGTCCTCAGGCACCCTGACGCAGCCGGTTCTGGCGCAGCCAAGTTCATCCTAGGAGCCCACCCTGTTCCCCCCAACAGCCCTATAACAACAGCCCCRTCACCCGTCTACCCCAGCCCGCTTCAGCCTGGAGCCAGCACCTGAGCCTTCAGGAACACCGGGGCTCTGTGATCCACATGTATCCACATGTGTCCATGTGGAGCTCAGGGAGGCTGCAGGTAACCSTGCCTCGCCCCGCTTACCCTCACACACAGGCCCAAGGCCACATATGGGCTTCCTGAGGGGTTGCTCTCTCCAAATATGTTTAAGTTTCAGGGAAGGCACATCCGCAAAGGCCACAGGAAGCTGTGTCTGCAGCCTGGCATGGAGCAGAAGGGCCTGGGAGGCCTTTGGGCTGCTGGAATGTGCTCTGGGATGTCAAATGCGGATGCGACCCTGGTGTGCTTGGGCCCCTGCCAAGGCACAGTTTGACACCAACCACTGCAGACGGGTCTCTCGGGAAAGGAGACAACAAAAGGGGCTTAATGAGCCCTAGGACTCAGCTTCCTTCCCAAGTCTGACTAATTATGGCCYCTTTCAGGGCAGGATTGGCACCTTYCAGGTCTKTTTTTGTGAGAGAGACTCAGCTCAGGTAGCATCACGGGGCAACCAGACCTACACATTGAGAAGCTACAGTTAACTGTCTCACATCATGAGAAGTTCGGCAAAGTTTCATTATTAAGTTTGATACACATCACTACCTGTCAAATTCATTTAAAAAATGTTATTTAAAAATGGCTTATAGCATTTAATAAGTCACGAACAGGAAAGCTTTAAAAATACATATCCCACAACTCGCACCTGGGGTGATGGTCCTGCTTCTGTGTGAATAGATTATTACCACTGATGAGCGTAATCAAGTTAAACATTGCCCTGGCCCTATACCTCCCGCCCATTACATTTCACACTAGCTTACTAATGGAGTGGGGAGGCTGCAGGCAGGGAGGAGTGCTGAGCCTGGAGCAGCTCGGATCACATCGGGAAGTTCAGGGGCGGTGAACTGAATCACTGTCTATCTCTCGCCCTCGATTTAGGACAGCCTTATGGACAACCTGGATCATAAATCGCTATCATTTTTTTTTTTTTTTAAAGGCCGCCATGCAGGCAGGCACCTAGCCCAGTGCCTGTCATCGGTGTCATCCACCTTAAGAGATGTGCTCTGAGATGCTCTTAAGGGTATTTAAACCTCCAATACGCAGTGATCCCGGCTGTAAGACTTTYCACCCACCCCCTCAGATAACGCTGCTCCTGATGCCATGGAGAGTTTCTATCTATCATCTCCTTGAAGAGTTTCACTTCCTCTGGGTTGGGTAAGAATTGGGCTTCACATGGAGGGACCAAGATAAGCTGTAAAGAGATGGAATGAGGGAAATGAATGTGGGAAATGTCCAAATTCCAACTGTCTTTACATAGGGCTATCAAATGACAGAAGATCACAGATACAAGAACTCTTGATCATTACACTGGTCATTTTAAATGGAGATTAAGAATAAATTTTCCCTTGCTCTACCTACCAAATTCTAGAGCGTGGGGCTGGGAGTGCAGGRAGAAGGACTGGGGATTCATCTTGCCCATGGCTGGCCGGGGAAGGACAGGACAGAACGAGAGCTGCTCTATGTAAAGCTAACCAGAAGCAGGTATCTGAAGCAGGAAATCCCATTTCTCCCTGAAGCAGGACTGGAAGGTGAAGGCACCCCCTGAAAATCCTGAGCTCATTGCCACACTCACCCATCTCCCAGCTACTGCTCTAAGCTCCAAATTTCTTTACTTCAGGAGACAGAACCAGCTGGATTTCCGGACCTTAGATAAGCCTGGGCCATGACAGCAGTAGGGTGATGGCTCCAACATGTCATTGGAGAGTCTGGCTTCTCCTTCCAACAGTTTTTGGCAGTTATYGCGGGAATGCTGTTACTCCGTCTAGCTCGTTCCTTGGTTCCAGACTGCAGAGGATGCCCCTGAGGGCTGGACTCTGAACTCTCATATTCAGCCCCTTGGCAACCCTGAAACTCTTCTGCTCTACTGCTAGATCCARTGATCAACTAGCAATGAAAGGCATCCTTATGGATGCCTTATCCCTAAGAAAACATGCTTGGAAGGAGCTCCTTTTTCACTCTCCTTGGCTTTCTTGAGCACTGACACTCTGGCCATTTTTGAGTTATGGTCCTTTTTAGGGTGCTCCTTCCACAGAGATGCACCCAGTAGAGCTCGGAGAATCCCCTGAAATTCAYCCCGACTTGGAACTGGAGGCCAGCAGTCTGGGGAGGATTCTGGGCTGCTCTGCTCTCACCAGCAGCCCTCCCAGAGCCCGGGCTAGCGGTGGGTTGGAACGGGCCAAACAGAACTAAGCCTTGCTGGGCCGCCTCCATCGCCACGGGCTCCTGGTACTTTGCTCAGGGCTCCTCTACCCCTTTTCCCCTCTACTTAGCAGAGGTATCTAGCTGGTTAAGACTGCACCAACCTACTGAACACCAACCACCATTGATTCGTAATGCTGCCTAATGTTTCAGGATACGCTTGTGTGGATGCTAGGAAGACCTAGAAAGCAGATTTTTTTCTTTCCTGGAGTATTTGAGGGGGAGAGCATGTCAGGACGAAGTTCGTAGACGGTCAGCACCAGAATCACAGGCCAGTGCTTTCACTGTGCCATGGTCAAGAATTAACAGTTGTAGGCTGAGCCCTGTGAGCATATCCTCTACTCAAAGCCAGTTAAAAACATTTATTGCAGTAACACTCACCTGCTCACATACAAACTTACTTTCAGATGGTATTAAATTTGTTCTTAACATGATTTTAAAGGCCTGTCTTCCTAGGGCAGTGTGAACTTTGAGCTTGATCTCTTCAGCCACCTGGAATCAGATGATCCATGTCGCTTCCTAGGACAGTCAGAATCATTTGTTGGTGTCTTTGACAGTATCTGATGTCACACAGAAACCAACAGTTGTCCTTGATGAGGCCCTCAAGAGATGAACAGAGGGACACATATATGGGAAATGTCCAAATTCCACCTAACTTCACATAGATCTATCAAATGGAAGAGGAGCACCTGCAGTTTATAAGGGTTATGGATCRGGTGGCTAATTATTTATAAGCGAAAAGCAGACTGAATAGTTACAGAGCATTAGGGAATATATTGTGTCATTAAGAAGGTAGTAGCACCAATCTATTAATGACCAACTGCTGAATTTCAGTAGTAGTTACAGCGAGGGGTGTTTTTTGGCTGTCCCTGTCAATACTGGTGAAGCTGAAGCTGTCTCAACTGAGTCCTGCAGGAAAATCTGCTTCACTTTGCAAGCAAGAACAAGAGCTTGAAAGAGACTGGATTCCTGCAGATCAGCCAGGTTCAGAGCAATGTTCCCTCCGGACATAACTAGGGAGCTAGCAGCTCAAGTGGAAGAAACAGGCGGTGCTCATCTGAACTTCCAGTGACGACCAAAGATCCTGCTCGACTTTACCCCTCAGCRAAATGCAGTTTTAAGATCACACGTGATCAAGAGAGTCATCAGAAATGTTGTCTCTACCTCCAAAACACGGTACCAGTCTCAACAAAAGGAGAGCTGTTATCGTGCAGTGCTGCGGGTCTTTTCAAAGAGGTGGAGAGATGACGCGTTTTTATCACAAGCTCCATTAAAACACATTCTCCATAGCCAGGTAGCAATGCCAACCGGGGAGAGCATCACACTCCCCTCAGGTTCTCGGCACTGGCAGCCAGTGAAACAGACAGGTCAGGGCGTCAGGATGCRCGTCAGAGCTCATTGTGGGGCTCACAGGTGTGATAATAAGGTCTGTAATTGCACGTTCTGTGACTAACGCGCCTGGCTGAGCCCTAAGCGGTACTGCCTCGCTGAACACCGCCTCAGCGCRTGTGCCCAGCAGCCAAGGATTTGTCATAAAAGTAGCAGAAATCACGAGCTTTGCTGTCTCTCTTAGCACCTCATCTTCTTAAAGTGAGTTCCATTACAAAGAAAACCACTCGCCCCATGCACGCCAGCCCTGTTCACACCAAGGCAGCGACGCTGAGGACATGTAGGCCAGAAAGCTCTTGGACGCGTTCCTGTTCAGAACTTGGTATTTATGTGACTGGACARGAGACCAAACCACCCAACCAAGTCACTTGTCATGAACGCAACCTCCTGCTGCCCGGGGAGCTGTAATCCTACCAAGCCCTGCTCTCAGGCGGCCGCAATAGGAAGGTGCTGCAGACCCAGGGCATTATCCAGCTCAATCCTGTTTAACCAGTGAGCAAAGAAAACAACCCCAGCCCACAGAAAATAACAGTTTTAAGGGCTCTGCCCTTTAGAGAGGGGGAGCAAAAAGGGTGCCAAGGAGCTCCAGAGACAGATGCCCCACACACAACCTCTCCCAACCCAGGCCCGTGGTTGCTCCTTCACAGCTGGTCATGAGGTTGTAGCCTTCACATCTGTATTTCTAGCAATATCCTTTATTGAGCTGCCTCTATTTCCTACACATTTAAGAAAATGGCTATATAAAGTGTTCCTATAAAGAAACAGCTCTAAAGGTTTTTGAAAACATAGCGGTTTATTTTGAGTAATATACAACATATGTATCTCAACAGGGAAAGATGAACAAGTAAAAAGCACTATAAACAGGCTGCCAGATGAATCCAGGGCAGAGGATTTCAAATGAAATGTGAGAGGAAAAAGAAAAAAAAAAAAAGAAAAGAAAAAAACACCCCTCTTTTCAGCAAGGCTGCAATTAGAAAGGAGGTGAAAACATCCAAAATAACTTATCTCCTGAGAAAGCCTCTTCATTAGCAACTTACGTAGGCTTTTTCAGTTTGCCATCTTAAATTAGGGATATTGGAAAGAATGAGCATTGCAATGTTCATATTTSTTTCAATTAAGCCCAGGGGCAACAGCACAACTGCAATTAATGGCTTTAAGAGAGCCAGACTCACACCAATTGTGTAGCACTGCACTCTGCATGTCCACTGCCTCAGCTCACGCTGATCAGCTACTGAGGTTACCATATATACACTGTATATACTGACCAAATTCTGCTGAGGGGTCAGACATCCAGAGCAAGTTTTACAGAATTAGTGTTTTTTCCCCCCTTTTTCCCCCTCACCCCTCTCCTCYCGGTCTCGTCTCCACTGATGTAATTCCCACAGATAACGTCACCTCATGGCTACGCAAATGAAAGCAGTACTTGCTGTTTTCACCACAGAGACACCTAAGAAAAACTAATGCTTATTTCATATACATATTTTTTWAAATTTTCTTAATAAAAATAAACATTCTTTGTAAAGAATTGTGTCAGTTCTTCAATAAACTGCAGTTTGCTGTTTCTCAGGCAGTGTGTGAAGTTAACAATTTAAACACATAACTACAGAGATGATATCCATGACGTTAAGAAGAAGGTAGATGTTTCAGCATCTTGGCAGTATTAATAAAAAGGGATTCTAAGCACTACAAGCAGAAAGTGAACAAATCAAAACTAAAATAAGAGAAAATAACAACATGAAATCTACATTTTCTTTCTACTGCAGCTTCTGATAGTTCAGATGTTCTTTGTATTTCAGTCCTCTGGCTCATATCTGAGGATAAAGAAAGAAAAGAAAATCAGAGCAGTAGAAAAACAAAGATGGGTTTATTTTTTCTGTAGAAACAAACTAAGTAATGCATGTTTGTGGTATGTTCATGTTGATATTCACTATATGACTCAGGGCATAGACTAATATATATAGTCTAATATAAATATATAAAATATATAGTCTAAAGTATATATAAACACAGAACTATAAACTATATATCTATATCTATACACACCCCCCAAACACACACCCCCCAAACACACACACAGTTTAGACTATTTTCTCCTTTTGCAGTTGGCAGTTTACAAAACTGTAGAATGAGGGAAGGAACCCACAAATCCCAGAACATTGGCAGAAAAGCTTGAACAGTAGTTTGAATTTCCACTTCTGCCCTCTTGTCGCGCAGCTCTAAGGAATCAGTGCTGCCGAAGATCACTTCCCCTTTATAAAACAGTGGCCTTCCACCTAATATGAGGGCCAGGGAGGGTATCTCCATCACTCAGTACATGCTTACATACTGGGTATTCACTCTTGTAAACAAACGTGTAAGAAATAAGATATAAGATATATAAAATGCTAAAGCAGCAGGTAATTCTCCATTCTGTTACTGAATTTCCTTTCAAGGTACCACATATTCTCTTTATTTGATAGACAATAGCTGCTTTGCACACATCAATCTTAGCCACCAAGCACACGTTGAAAGGACTGGCCCATCAAAAGTCAGGAAATAGCTTTGTAACAGGTCTTTTTAAAGGCTACTCTAGTCCATTTTAGATTCAAATTACTATTAATTCTAGATTACAAATGTTGATGCACAACAACAGAAGTGGAGCACGCATGTTACTTTAAGAGAACAGCACCACGTACTTGGAAAGCTTTCTGCGTAGATCCTTTATCTGCTCATTCTTCTTCATAAGAATCTCTTTCATGTTGCGGTAGGCAGCTGTTTGCTGAAACTTCTTCTCCAACTCCTACACAGCAACGACACCACCACATTACTTACTTAGATACTAGAACTAGAGTCATATGCTTTTTGAAGGCAACATCTTTCCTCCTTATGTTTCAGAGCACCACTTTCTCTAACTGTTCAGTTATTCAGTGAATAACTGTTGACTATTGAAATTTATCTGAAGTCAACTAACAGATTAAAATGTTATTACCAGGAGAGAAAGACGGAAAGATAAAGCTTTATTTTCCAAAGAAAGTCAGGCCAAAAATCTTCTGAAGATTCGGAGGACAGTTTGCATTCCCACAATTACATGCATATGAATGGGCAATATTTAAGCATTCACCTAGTTACATGCTGTAAATACTAATATATTGTTTATATTATATAGCTGAATATTTTCTATTTTTCATAGAATCATGTTTTTCTTCAAACAAAAATATGCTGGCACCACTGTGATCCCAGTAATCTTGTAGTCTTGCTGTCTAGTACGTGCTTTTTACAATTCCCAATCAAGTGAGCACGGAGCCGTTACAAAAAGAGCTGACCTTTTCAGCTGTGGATAGTTGATCTTGAACCTTAAGCAAGTCATGCTTTGTTGTGACCAAGTTTTCTTCCAAAGATTTTTGATTTGCAGTAGAGTCATTCAGGGTCTTCTCAAACTGACATTTCAAAGCTGCCACTTTATTTTCCAGTTCAGTTATATCCTGGTTTACATCAGCCTTCATAAGAAGAAACATTTTAAGTGTCAGTTAAAATATACCTCTTGGCATTTCTTATAACTTTTATGACAATAAAAGTAAAGCACAAACTAAAAGTGCTTTAACTAAATAAGGAAATTGTACACATTAAAAATACTGAAGAAATATCCTTGCAGCTTTAAAAACCATTAATTAACACATTTTAAATATGACTTCCTTTTTTAACCACAAAAGAAGGAGGGCATTTTGTTCCAATCTCTCAAACACTTTTTTTTTTGTACACAAGTACAAACACTACAATCGAGGATTTAATAAAGTTCTTTAATATTAAAAACTTGTTATCTATTTATTAGACCCTAAATTACTAATGAAAATATTCACCATGACTGATAAAATTCCTACTAAGAAGTAGAGTACTAAGTACAGATTCTGAAAGTTACTATATAAAATTAGAACAGAAAGAGAAGTACCTACCATAAACCCCCATTTAGAAAGCAAAATAAAAAGAAAGCATGATTAAAACATGAAAATTGAAGTGGAAATAGTGAGTCTTAGTGCTGGCTTCAAACATGCAAATACCACAGGAATTAAAAATAATTAGTTTCTCAAAAGAATGACACTATAGTGTTCCACTTTTGATTACAGTTTGAATTAAAGTTTTTTTTTTTTAAAGACAAAAATTTAAAAATGAGAGGATTTTTATTAAAAAAGAAATAGCTACAAGCTTAAAGAAAAGTACTAAAATGACACGAACAGATTTTCCTACATCAGTCTACAGAACCACCAGCTTCTATTTTTTTTTGGAGTAACAATCATGTTTGAATCCAAAATTTACAGAAAACATTAAGGACTTTGTGTAGTAAAAATACCTGGTGAGCCAATTTTAATAGTACATTGCAGTAACAGTACATTTATATTTTTCAATATAAAATAAATACTGCCCTTGAAAAATATGAACTCTAGAATAATACTTTGATAGTATCTTATCATGGTCTACGTGACACTAAAATGTCATAAAATTAACTAGATTATCTGCTGACTGACAGACCACAGCAATATGACAATGTCAGCAGGAACAGAACACTAAAGTGAACATTCTTATCTGCCAGAAAGAAAAACATACCATGCAGACCAATTTATGGCATACTGGTGCTAAATACTGCAGAAAGAAGGAACCTTGACAATCACGTTTACCTTTTGATCTCCCCGGATCATCTGTAAATCTTTCAGCGACTTCTCTAGTTTCACCTTTTCATCTAGTGCACTTGTAGCCTGAAAAATAAACAAACAAAAAATCCTCACATCACTYGTAAGCATATTTTAATTGAAAACATAACAATAATAATAATATTAGTCAATCTAGATAAGCATCCAAGCTCACAGTGGGTTTACCTGCGTTTCTATTGTCTTGAGTCTGTTCTTCAGTTTTTCATTTTCTTCTTGAAGTCTAGCAATTTCCTTTGGGTAAATAACAAGAAACAGTTCACTTGTAAACACTCTTGGGCAATTTTCAGTATCCCAAAGATTTGTAAGAAAAGAGAGAAAATAAGCCTCATAATTCAAGAAAGCACCAAAGCTTGTAAATGCTTATAAAGACGGTCTTGTTTCTTTCTTCAGATTTCTTCACAAGCAAAATGTACAAATTACTGCATCTTCTGCTTCAGTGAGTAAGGAATTTCAATTTCCTTAAATACATAAATTACAGTATAACTACACATAAGAACTCATAATACCTCATAAACATATTTAAAAMTGTTATGAAATTGGCACTGAATTTACTTTTAAGAAATAATTACACTGATCTACAAGTAAAATAGAGGTATGAATATTTTGATTATCTTGAAAGGTAAAAACAATCATGTCCGAGACAGTTCTGGAGAGTTAGTAATGCASTCTGGAAGACAGAAAATGCAAGTCTTCAACTGATTCTTAGTGCTTAAAAATGTATTGTAACACATGAGGCATTTTTAAACAGCCAAAGCAGCTCACTTCATAATTAAAATTATTGCTAGTATTAAAACATGCTTCACAATTGTGAACATCTTTAACTAGTGGGATATTAACCATTTTCAAAATGAATAAATCTTATGTTTTTTTTTTTTCTGAAGTTCTTGTTTCTCGGGGAGAAATTCAAGGAAAAAAAAGAATCCATACAATAAGACTGACTTTCAGCAATATAGAAGATTCTCCATAACCTAATTATTTCAGGCCACTATATAATTTAATTCCTTGTAGGAAGCACAGCCTCATGAAATACAGCTAAATGCTAGTTCCTAGTAGTGTTAGTCATTAAATGGAAAAATAAAAAGTTTAAAAGGCCAAAATTATCTTTGCAAAAGGAAGTTTAATATTGCAATAAATGCTAGAGGCCACAGCCAAACAATAAACAAAAGATAAAATGGAGTGCAAAGTTAAATGATAATAAATATTCTGAAGTAAATTATACTGACTGCTGAATAGTGAAGAATACTATATACAAATATTACTATACAGCTTCCCAGTTTTCCTGAACATGTCCAATAGCTACAGCTGCATCAAGAGACAAATTCTTACCTTGTTCAGCAGCTCTGACCCACCTTCATTTAATGGAGCCAATTTTGGCTTAATGAGATCTGCACTGGGCTAGAGTAGTGATAAAGATTAAAGAGTAGGAAAAAAAAAAGATAATTTTTTAGAGGCAGAAATGCATTCTTTTAGGCTGTAAAGTAAAGTAACTATCTGCAGTCACTTTTGCTTTCTTTTGAAAGTAAATGATTATCTTTTTTTACTGGTAATCTGGCCTTTAAATTATGCATGGTCACATTACATACTTCACTTTTGACTAAAGAGAAGTACTGCACACAAATAGAAAATGCAAATGAATAGAAGACCACTGACACTGCAATTACCAGAAGACAGAAGAGTTGGGGAAAAAAAAATTAATTTATTGTAAGACAAAAAAAAAGTACACAGTTCAAAATATATATATATTTTAAAGTACTCAAATACTATCTATATTAATATACAATTATGTTACAAAGCAGGTTCAGTGTTAACTGTATAGGATAAGGAGAGCTATATCTATACTGGGGGATCCTCTCAGCGTCATGTTGCCACAAAGCCTGGCCATACATCCGCCTGTGCCCATTTCACCACCGGTCCCAGAGGAAGGAAACCCAGAAGTAGATGCTCCAACAGATGCCTGCTCTAGCTGACTTTAGGACCAAGCCTAGGAAGGTTGGACTAGATGATCTCTAGAGGTCCCTTCCAACCTTAAATATTCTGTGATTCTGTGAAGCCTGTTTCGAGTATGGAGAACCCCCAATCTAGAAATAGTCAAGGCAATGCCGTGCAAGGTTTTGTGACAAATTGTAAACTGATGGTTTTTGAAGACTTTTAAAGACTACACTGAATACTTTGCTCCCCTTCTTAAAATATGGAAAGATAATACTAAGTATTTATTTTTAACATCACTCCCGGCTCTACAAGGCATTTCATCATGATTTTTTAAAACTAAACTCTACCTTTTTGCTTGAAGATGTAAATTCTGATTTTTCAAACTCAGCAACTTGTTCCAACAATTCTCTTTAAGAAAAAACAAAGGCAGGCATTAATTTACTAAGAGAGCTACATGGAGAAACACATTCTACTTCGGCTCATGCTATATTCCTGACTGCATGTCAGACTCTAGTTATAGTACAAGATGAAACTCCATGCGAATACATTAAGCACAATGGACAGTAGCATGCATAAATATGGTATATGTAGAAACTGTAAGATGTAGAGTCTTCAAGCTACTTGTATAGTAAAAGATTATTAATCAAATCCTACCATCTGCTCTTAACTCATTCAGTTAAGAATATTAGTCATAAATAGTCATAAATATTCCATGACAAGTTTGAAAGTACCATTTATCTCACTAGTTTATAGACACAAGATTTGAAACTAATCTCTCACTGATACAGAAGTGAAAGAGTAACTTTCTAAGGTTAGGAAAAGAAAATAATCAACACTTTGAAGTTCTCTTATTATTTAAAGAGGTTCTCTATATTCCAATATATGTTACCGATTTTCCAACTCAGAGATGTCTGTCTGTAACTTAAGGTACCATTTTTCAGCTTGTGAAAAGAGCTGGCGCAGAAGTAACACATTGGTGTAAGCTGTATTTATGAGCTCTGACTCCACTTCACTGTGCACAACAGTCTGCAAGCCATCCAGCATGTCTGTCACCTCATCAACTGTGAAGGTCTCCTCCACAAGCCTAAACAGAGAAGTTAATATGGGTCACATGCATCAAAGATAAGAATTCTGCATTGTGGTAAGGGATGTCACTGCACCAAGTATAACTTGTAAATAACACAATTTCCTTCTAAAATGACCTGCTGTCAGTAGTTATTAGATGAAAATGCCACAAGTAATTTTGTTAACCCATTTACATTTCATCTTGAAAATATTTCAAACAAATACAASTTCTGCTTAGAATACTGAAAATCAAACATAGACATAAAAAGTAGGGTGTAAATCAAGGCCATGGGTCTATTTCTGCATTGATTCCTACAGATTTAAACAACTTAGGTTTGAAAGGGCTTGACCTGTAACATTCGAAAATTGAGTCTTTCTTCCTTATTAAGAATATATAATGTAAACCATCAGAAAAGCGCACTCCTCCTCAAACACTAAACCTACAACTGCCACTAACATACTTTGCTCTGTTTCTGCTCCATGCAACTTTTAGCTTAATACTGTACCCTCCTCACGATACCTGCTGTCCTTAAGGTCCTGGAAGCAAGAATCCACTGTTTTGAGCCGCAGGCCACGCTTGGAACGCGCAAAGCGCATGTAGTTGATCACCTCGTTCTGGTGGTGCTCGTTAAGGCCTAGCTCTGCCTGTGGACAAGGAAAGATGCACACACTGAAGTAAGCGAAAAGCAACATTAGCATTGTGAAGACTTGCACTCCGACTAGTTTCCATGCTTACTTTTCTAAAGAGTTATCATGTTTACTCATRTGTTAGAGAACAACCACATTTCCACTTCTATAACCCCAACATATCTCATGTAAGTGCAAACCCTTTAAAAAGTACTCGCCCTTTGATGTAAATCCCCAGATAGCCAATACTCTCAGAAAATTCATACAAATATCAGGAGGAGGGGAAAGGATAAAGGCCATAAAGAATCGGAAAAACTACAGAAATGAAGAACTATAGAAAACTTCCACTCTTGGATACCATTTTCATTGTATTATAAGTTTATGTGCATAACTCAGTTGAGCTACACATTTATCTTTTAAACACACACTGAAAGAGTTACATTGGAGAGTACAGTACATTTCTCTGTTCAAAGGAGTATTTGCACAGCAAATTATGTTAGATTAAATGTTGCTAGTGCAGGTAGCACAACCTTTGCAAGGCATGCATGGCAGTTTATAAATCACAGACCCCTCTGGCCAGCTGGTGCAACCCAAAGCAAAGACTGTTTCACTGACTCTAGCATACTGTGCTAGCACTTCTGATGCTGCACGCAGCAAGACAGCAACTCAGACAGGACAAGTAATCTGATCACTTAATCCTTACTAATACAACTGCTCACCATTGCCCAAATATAAATGCAACACCTGAATGAATGCTGAGAACAAGAACACAAAGCCAGGGCACATGGAAATTAAATACAGTATAGGAGAGAACAAAAGCTGTTAATAAAACAAACTCTCATGGTTGCTAATCTGGCATAGCCCACAACGTGCCAAATTGCAAAATAGATCACCTGAGAGGCCCAATTTATGTTCTGTCACTGTTTGGTTTTGGTTAGATGGAAAGTTTCTATTAGCTGCAGTTGGGAGGAAAGAAGAAAAGAAAGATGCTAAGGGCAGTGTGGAAACTTCACAATGCAGGAGACAGCTACAAAGGCAAATTAAAACAATATATAAATAAGGCCACGCCAAAGCCGTTCACAACCCGCAGGCCAGTTACACTGATCTCCAGCTAAGCAACCGCGGTATCGGATCCTGCAAGGCCAGCAACCACTCTCCACGAGGGCAGGTGCCCAGAACCGCGAGCAGCCCCGCCACGGCAAAGGGCCGCAGAGGCCTCGCAGAGCTCAGCCGGGCTGCCCTAGCCGCAGAGGCGGCGGGCAGGGAGRCCCCGCCGGTGCGAGGGGCCCGCTTGGCCCGGATCCCGCTGTCCCTAGCTGAAGGGGCACGGCCAGCGCCGGGAGAGCTGCCCCGAGGGGCGGCCGCCGCAGAGCAGCCCCGTCACTCACCATGGCGGCGCCTCGCCGCTGCGGAGGCGACGGTTGGGGCAACGGGGGCTAACGGCTGCTTAACGGCGCGACGGTTGCCATGGAGAACGAAGCCTCGCGAGCGTCCTCGCCGCGCTCCTATTGGCCGGAGCGCGATCACGTGCGTCGCGCTGACCCTCCCCACCCGAGTTGCGCAGGCGCGACCCTGGCCCAGCCGTTTCCCCGGCAACCGCCCCCCGCCCGTGCCGCGGGCTCTGTGTGTCGCCCCCCAGCGGCTCTCGCGGCTGCGCACACGGCCCGGGCGCGCCCGGCGGG